TAAGAAATGGACTGATCACAGTCGCGTATTCTACTCATACTTGACCGTGATTGGTCAATCTCTTAAAGCTCAGGGCTTAAGTCATCTATTGTAGACTGGGACTTGTACGACAGCAGTCGAAGCGAGAGAGGGCTCGGGCACTGACAGTTCTGATCCCACGTGAGAGGACAACACGTCGGGGATTAAAAGTCGAACAACGCGGTTCGCCGAGGAGACGAAGAGCCGCCGATCGGGAGTGCGAACGGATCCGATCGATCGACACCGTGGGTCCGCGGGTAGCGGGCTACGTAGGCGCGGAGAAAGTGCACACACCGGAGGAGACGCGCGTGTTCCCTTTGCGAGCGCGCCCACGCTGCCGCGACTATCAATGGTGTCGCGGCTATCAATGGAAACGCGGACTACTTACGGCCTTCCTGTTTCTACTCATCGGGACGGCCACGGAAATTCAAGAGAGTCGACGACGAAGCTCTCGCTTCTACGCCACGTATCCCGGCCGCTCGATCGCGCCCCCGCAGTTATACCCGCGCGAATGTAACAGCGACATTGTGCGCAACGATTGCGAAATACCCTCGGTCGCTACCTTGGGTCGTTGAAAAGAACCGCACGCGATAACGATAATCGAGCAGATACGCCTTTTTAAGACGCTCGTAATCGTAAGATACGTAATATCGCGCCGAGCCCGTTACCGTAAAACTGCCGTTCGGTCACCGCGCGAGACGTTTCCCTGAAGACCCCGCGTCCACGATCCAAGAACTGCGTCCAAGTTCTAGTTCCAAGAAATGCGTAGCCAATCAACCTGCAGCTTTTCCATAAAAGATACAGGTCGATTGGTTGCACATTTCTTGGAACTAGAACCTGGACACAGTTCTTGAATCGTGGACACAAGGCTTAAGGCCTGATCCACGATGCTAGAACTTGGTTCAAGTTCTAGTTTCGAGAAGTGTGTAGCCAATCAATTTGCAGCTTTTATAAAGTAGCTGCAAGTTGATTGGCTGCAGATCTCTCAGAACTAGAACTTGGACCAAGTTCTAGGAGTTAATTCTGCATCTTACACCGTGGTGAAAAATGCTAAAATTGAGCGGCTTCGTCTCCTTCTAAGGGGACGGTCAGAAAGAGACGAGGCTATTCACTTTTAGCATTTTCGCTGTAAGATACAATATTGTGTGAAAAGCTGCACGTTGATCGGCTACGCACATTTCTCGAAACTTGGACCAAGCTCTGGGCACCGGGCGTCCTCGACAATGCGACACTTGAATTGGCGGCGCGCCGCTACCGCGAGTCGCGGATGGATATATAGATCTCTCCGGTTAGATATACGTCCCGTATGATGAGGACGCACGAGAATAGCCTCCGCGTTTCCTCGCGGCAACAGATATATACGCAATAATGGTCCATAACACGCGATAAATCCAGGCGGAGAGCACGACACTCGGCATGACGTCACCGTGACTTTATTCATCATCGCATGACAGCTACGTTGGAACGACACACTCCAAACGTTCACTTGGATGTCAACCGCGAGCCTCTCGTCCCCACCTGGCGGGTGGTACGCGCGGAGGAATTTGAGGGGGGAAAGCGGAATTTCGGCGAGACGGCGACGACGAGTCGAAAAAAATCCCGCCGACTTGCTCGCGCGCTGCTCCTCTTACTTGCTCGCTGAGCCGGTGCCCACGGCGACGAGGCTGGTGCCGATCGCTGCGTGGCGGCGGCGGCGATTGCTGTCCCACGAATTGGAACTGGCCCTCCCACAGGTCGTACTCGAGGCCGGCGCCGGGCCCGGAGGACGGCCCCTCCCCGGAAAACGACGCGCGGCCGTCGCTCGTCTCCTCGTAAAGGTTGAGCTCCATCGCGCAGCGGCGCGACGCGGTTCTCGCCCCGGGCCGGAACGCGCTCCGTGTTTATCGCGTCACGTCATCGCCTGTATCGCGACGAGCGCCGGCAACTCCGTCATCCCCGCGCGCGCGGCCCGCCGCTCCTCCTCCGTCGTCGTCGTCGTCGTCGCCGTCGCCCGCACCGTCGCGACGTGCGGCCGCGCCGCGCTAACACGCATCGAAAATGCGCTCCGGGGCTTCCTTCCGCGCGGAGTCACGCGCACTTCCACCGCGTCCTAGGCGCGACTCTACGTGCCAGGAATACACTACGAGTTCCCCTATTCGTTCGCACGTTTCTCTCTCTCTCTTGCGCTCTCGCTCTCTCTCCTTCTCGCGCCTCTATCTGATCGCCCACTTCGAGCCGGGGAGTCTGGGGAGTAGTCGCCGTTGAGGCTATTTGCGCGCTCCATATCGCGTGCCAGCTAACTCCGCGCACTCGGATAACCGCTGGGCGTTACGTCGAACGTGCCCTGGCCTCTCCTCGCCTCTCCACACCCAGGAGAACGCGTTGCCGACGCGACGCGACGCGACGCGACGACGCGGTCCCGTCAGGACGGAAATCGATGGATGCCACCCGTTGCGTTTCGCCGCGAAGACAACACCCGGGTGAAACGCGACAAACGTCGCGCGGGCCCGGCTACTCTCCGGGCTCCGTGCACGCCGGAGGCTGCGCCGAGCTTTTGCAACCCGCGCGGCGCGATTGCCAACGCGATTCTCCGAGCGTTGTGATTCCCCAGTGAGAAATGATTCGTCGATCGACGTCGAAATGATGTCGAATCGACGTCAATTCGACGGTGTCGATGTCGATCGACGAATCATTTCTCACTGGGTCGCGCGTCCTCCTCCTTTCGTCCTCTCGCCGTTTCTTTACCGCCGAACGGAACTTTCCGCCGCGGCCGTTTAATACAAGCATTGCCATAAATTATTTCGCAATATCGATCGACGCATTACGTACGCGACATTCACGTGTGTGGAGTAGTTTTGTCGCATCGCGGTGCCATCGCGCCTGCAACGGAAAGCCATGCGAAAACGGCGCGGCGCACGGAACGCGTTTAACCCTTTCGCCGCTGGGGCATTTAAATCCCCCGCAGATATTTTTCTGCTCTCTCTTT